TTTCATTAGAGAAGAACCCGTCCAGAGGACCTATACAATTTTTTTCTTTTTGATTTTTTACCTGGATTACTGAGATGCATCAGGACACTTCTGGAAGTTGTTGAATGTTTTCTCCAGTGCAGAAGATACTTGTATCGTCTGCAAATAAAATGTATTTTATAAGGTTTGATATTTTGACTGTGTCATTTATATACAAATTGAACAATTTGGGTCCCAAAACTGATCCCTGCGGAACTCCACAAGTTATGTTTAGTAAGTCTGATTTCAATTCTACAAATTGTTTCCTTTCTCCAATGTTGCTCCTAAGCCAGTTTAATGCCACCCCTCTAATTCCATACCTTTCCAGTTTTTTTAATAACATGTCATGATTAATGGTATCAAAAGCTTTTTTGAAATCCAGAAATACACCAATTGCAAATTTCTTTTTATCCATGTTGTCTATAATTTATTCTGTTAATACCATCAGTGCCATTGGTTTTCTCTAAAACCATACTGACAATCAGTCAGAATGTTTTGCTTTGCAATAAAATTATCTAACCTTTTACTAAACACGTTTTCTAGTATTTTTGAAAATTGACAAAGAAGAGACACAGGTCTATAATTACTGATAATATGCTTATCTCCAGATTTAAATAGAGGAATAACCTTCGCTATTTTCATTGCATTTGGAAATGTTCCAGTTATGARTGACAAGTTGCAAATGTATGTTAGAGGATCTGCCACATCATCAATTATCTTTTTTATAAGTGACAGTCATTCCAGTCCATTGATTTTTTATTGTTGCATTGATTAACTATTTCCTTAATTTGGATTTTGTCTGCTGGTTTCAAGTACATAGATTATGTATTTTATTTTATACTAATTTATCCACTTCCAGTGGGTTTGATTTATTTATTTGTTCTGCTAACTTGGGCCCTACATTTACAAAATATTCATTAAATCCATTTACTATCCCAACTCTTTCATTCAGGGTTTTATCATTATAAATAATATATTATTCATTTTTAAAATCACTCAAGTAGTCTATTTTTAATATTATGAACACTTCATAAATTTAGACTTTTACATGTCT